TGTGCAGAAGGCAGCTGATCAATGTTTCTAACTCTCTATCCCTCTCCCTTTCTCTCTGTAAAAAGTCAATAAAATATATTTAAAAAAAAAGAATAGCACCATACTTACCTTGGACAAAATAGACTTCAACTCAAAAACTATTATATAATGACAAAGGATTCAATTAATCAAGAGGTAATAAAAATTATCTATAATAATAAAAGCATAATATGCTAACCAGACCAGACATCCTTCCAGATGACCTTCCAGACAAAGCTGGGGCTGAGAGGGAAGCCCAGGTCATGGGTGCAAGAGGGAAGCTGGTGCCAGCAGCCAGGGAAAGGAAGGCCTACTCTTGCACCAATTTTGTGCATTGGGCCTCTGGTAAATATATATCCACCAAACTTTGGAGCGCCAAATTATATTAAGCAAATATTAACAGATCTGAAGGGAGAAACAGACAATATTACAAAAATAGTAGAGGACATCAGTACTCCACTTTTAACGCTGGATAGATTATCTAGACAGAAAAATAAAAAGGAAACATTGAACTTGAATATACTTTAGACCTAACTGACCTAATATATTTAAAATTCTACCCGAAAGTAGCAGAACATATATTGTTCTTAAGTGAACATGGAACATTCTCCAGGATAGATCATACTAGTATTTTAGGTCACGAACCAAGTGTAAGCAAATTAAAATTACTGGAATCATACCAAGTGTCTTTCCCAACCAAACTGTTATAAAACTATAAATTATTAACAGGAGAAAAAGTGGAAAATCATAAATATGTAGATATTAAACAATATTCTTCTGAACAATCAATGAGTCAAAAAATCAAAGAGAGTATCAAAAATATCTTGAAATAAATGAAAATGGAAACATAACATACCAAACTTATAGGATGCAGAAAAGACAGTTCTAAGAGGGACATTTGGAGTAACAAATGCCTATATTAAGAAAAAAAGAAAGATCTCAAATAAACAAACATTATACCTCAAGGTACTATAAAGAGTAAACCATATAAGCCTAAAATTAGCAGAAGGAAGGAAGTAACAAAGTTAGGAGCAGAAATAAATGAAACAGACTAGAAAACAATTGAAGAAATCCATAAAACTAAAAGAAAGTAACCAAATATGACAAACCTTTAGCTAGACTTTCCAAGATAAAAAGAGAGAAGACTAAAATAAAATAAAATAAAATAAAAGATATTACAACCGATAACACAAAAAGACAAAAGATCATGAGACCACTGTGAACAATTATATGCCAACAAATTAAAGGAGGAGAAATGAATAAATTTCTAGAACCATCATACACTCTACTATGACTGAATCATAAAAAAATAGAAAATCTGAACAGATCAATAACAACTAAGACCGAATCAGTCATCAAAAACCTCCCAACCAAAAAAATAAATAAATAAATAAATAAAAAGAGAGAGGAAAAAACAAAACAAAAAAAACCCCTCCCAACCAAGACAATCCTAGGATCAAATAACTTGATTAATTCTATCAGACATTTAAATAATTAATGCCAGTCCTTCTGAAACTGTTTCAAAAAATCAAACAGGAGAGAATGCTAGTATTCTCCTGATACCAAAGCCAGACAAATATTTTGAAATTTAGCAACTTTTATTTTAAAAATAATCCCATCTGAGGTGTTATTCGATAAATGACTGGATGACCCCACAATAGAGGCATCCAAGTCAGAATAATTTAAAGAAGACCTTGAATTGTCTCTGTTTTGCTATGGCTTCCTCTAAATTCTTTTGATGGTGATAAATCTCCAAAATTTACAGGGAATTCATACAACTTAACTAAAGGAAGGTAAATAATCTAATATGAAAATGGGCAAAGGACCTAAATAGATTTGTTTTGAAAGAGGACATACAGAAGGCCAAGAGACATATGAAAACATGCTCCACTAATCACTAATCATCCGAGAGATGCAAATCAAAGCAACAATGAGGTACCATCTCACACCTGTCAGAATGGCTATCATCAACAAACGACAAGTGCTGGCGAGGATGCGGAGAAAAAGGAACCCTCATACACTGCTGGTGGGAATGCAGACTGGTGCAGCCACTGTGGAAGACAGTATGGAGTTTCCTCAAAAATTTTAAAATGGAACTCCCATTTGACCCGATAATCCCACTTCTAGGAATTTATCCCAATAAATCAGTAACACCAATCAGAAAGGATATATGCACCCCAATGTTCATAACAGCACAATCTGCAACAGCTAAGATTTGGAAACAGCCTAAGTGCCCATCAGCAGATGAGTGGATTAAAAAACATTGGCACATCTACACAATAGAATACTATGCTGCTGTAAAAAAGAAAGAACTCTTACCATTTACAATAGCATGGGTGGACCTGGAGAGCATTATGCTAAGCAAAATAAGCCAGCTGGAGAAAGATAAATATCACATGATCTCACTCATTTGGGGAATATAATGAACAACATAAACTGATGAACAAAAATAGATCCAGAGACATGGAAGCATTGAATAGACCATCCAACCTCAGAAGGAAGGCAGGGGAAGGGGGTGTAAGAGACCAACTAAAGGACTTGTATGCATGCATATAAGCATAACCCATGTACATAAACAATAGGGGGATGAGGGCATATGCTGGGGGTGGGAATAGCTGGGGAGAGGTCAATGGGGAAAAAAGGAGACTTATGTAATACTTTAAACAATAAAGAATTAAAAAAAGAATAATGCATCTGAAAGTTGTTCAGTATTTGCTCCATCAAAAGTGTTTTATATCTTATTTCATTTTAATATTTATAAAATAAAAATAAAGCCAATATAATTTTTATATTAAAGAAAAACAGGAATAGAGGGATTAAATAATACAAGGTGGCAGAACCATATGCTTAACCATTTTACTATATTTTTTCTGTTTATATCATTGAATGTTTGTCTCTCTTATGCCTCAGGTTGTCTTGTATTATCGTTATCTATGAATCTTTCTTTTCAAGTACAAACTATTCAACTGAAATAACTAGAAATCACAGATGCACAAGCATACCCACCTAACCTTTCCATTTTAAAGGCTTTCTAATATATTATTATATATCTCTTTAACTTAAATTTAAACCTTTATAATTCAAGAAGGAATTTGAGGCAAGTTACTTGAATATTTTTAACCTTTAAATAATTATACTATTCTTATTCCTTTTTCACAGTATTTAGCACATTTCTTTGAATATCAGAAGTGCCCAAATTTTGTTAAATATAGTTAGTCTGTGTCAGCCCCCAGATGTCCCCAAATTCCCCAGCATTCTAAAATTATATTTTCTTCTAGTATTTTAATAGGAAGACTAGAGTTCCTATTCAAAATGCAGTGGAAAGCTCACTGCTCTTCTGCCCCACAATATTTCTGAATCTTATGGGTTGGGAGAGGGCTGCATATATTTTCTCTGGTCACCAGCCATCTGAGCTGAACTCCTGCTATTAGTTCCACTCTGTGACTTGTCTCCTGAGATTGCTATTCCCCCGTTATTCTGGACATTGCTCTACTGACATAAGTGTGTTTTGTGGTAGAATCTTACCAATGTCACAACTTTCATTTATACATTCCATAATTCACTAAACATGCAGACATTTATTGAGTGTTTGCACTATATTGGGAACTGATAAGACAATGATAAGTAAACCATCTGCACAATCATGTAGCTCATATTCTAAGCAGGAAATCTAAAACTCACACAGGCACACAGATAAATTTAAAATTACAAATGAGATAAGTATGAAGGAAAGGCCCATGGTGGATTGAGAGCTATGGTAGTGGATTTGAACTGAGAGCTGAAGGATAAATAGACATTAACCAGCCCTGTGCAGAGATAAGAGGGGGAGAAGAGGGTAAGACATGGTGGATGCAGGGATTTGAAAGAAGAGGTCTAAGTCCAGGTAAGAATGATGGTTTAAATCAGGGAAATGATGGTAAAGATGAAGATAAAGGAAATATTTGAGAAGCATTTAGTACAGGGTAAAGGACAACCTGGTGATATGAGGGAACCCTACGGTATCAAAAATATAGAGCTCCCTATATAGAGCAACTTGAAAAAAGTGCATGTAGACATACATTATAGTCATAAAAATTTATCAGACTGGTTTGAATTTGGAAATTTTTCACCAGTTATGTCACTGATTAGGTTCTTGCCTCATAGCTTTATTTTTTGAAACCTACTTTTTCTCATACAAAGCCATATTCTCTATCACCATTTTGTTGCTGTACCTATTTCTGGACTCACAATAATTACTTCAAAATATCTAAAATAATACAATTATTATGTGAACAGTTTGACAATAAATCTCCAATAGCTTAGTCCCCACTTTGCACTGCCAACACTTTCATTGAGCTGTTGCTAAGCTGTCTGCCACAGTTCCACTCTTAGTATTACGAAGACATAGGAGCAATACTGAAGTCATACCACTGTTTTTTGTTGAGGTTTGCGCGCGCGCGCGCGTGTGTGTGTGTGTGTGTGTGTGTGTGTGTGTAGTATGCCTTAGTTCAAATTCTTAGGCTTAGTCTTCCACAAGAATATCCAAGGTCATGGGGCTATGTATGGTGAGGCACACGTTCATCTCCCCATTGGTCATAGTCGACTTCAACCATCCTTTAGCCTTTCATATCCTTACATTTCATTTTCTACTGACAAGCTATAGTACGTACATCTCCTAGGAGAAGACTGCCTTTTGATTATTGTCTAGTACTCATTCTCTATGTCATACCCTATCCTCAAAAACGTCAGTTTTAATAACCCCAAATGGCTTACCAAAACTAAAAGCTAATAATGTAGTAGACTGTACAGAATTAAGTACTTGATGTTAACAATGTAGAATCAAAACGCTTAATAACGAATTATGACTTTCAAAGTTATATATTCCCGGCAGAAGGAATATCTATACCTAATGTTGGATCTGTTCTTATGCTCTTTTGAAGGGAACATCCTTCTGTAATAGACGTCCCCCTGTTTTCAAATCCAGATTTCTTCACCAAGAGAGATGAAGAATTGACAAGAATCATTGACCATTATGTAAGACTGGCTTTCTTAAACTACTTGCAAAAGCTTTGTTTTTGAAAGGTATTTTTAATTAGAATGTGTAGTTCTGAGACTTTAATATCAACATGTGGAACTTAAAAGTAGAGCCATGATTGGGCATTGCTAAACTTATTTATATCTCACTGTACTATCTATACATATCAGAGTCTTCACTGGGCTACAGAAAATTGGCCTCTGTCATTTTAAAATACTAGCCTTATCCTGTTTCCTGAATTAGTAGATTTTTTAAACAAGAATCTGATATTGAACACTGAACACTGTTTTTTTTCTACAGTATAGTTTTAAAAATGGAACAAAAATCTTTTGACTCAATTTTCAGTGACCATTCTTTGCCCTTGAAATATTAGAAAGACTTTAATCACTTTGTTCATGGTATGAATTAAACTGCGGCAATACAAGGCTATTCACTTAAGACACTTTAATCCATTGAGCTTATTTAGTTGATCATTTCTTGCTAAATCTTTTTATGATTGCTCTTTTGTTTTAGGAGTCATTTATACCATTTACTGAATAGACTATCTTTACCATATTGTATGCTCTTGCCTCCCTTGCCAAATATTAATTGACCATAAAGGCATGGGTTTATTTCTAGGCTCACTATTCTGTTCAATTCATATATATGTCTGTTCTTATGCCAGTATTATGATGTTTTGATTACTATGGTTTATAGTATAGTTTCATACCAGGTAGCATGAATCCTCCAACTTTGTTTTTTTTTCCTCAGAATTGCTGTGGCTATTCAGGATCTTTTGTGGTTCTATATAAATTTTGGGCACATTAGTTCTACTTCTGTGAAATATGCCATTGGTATTTTGATAGGAATTGTGCTGAATCTATGAATGCTTTTGGTAGTATGGACATTTTAATGATGTTAATTCTTACTTGTGGATGCTTCCACTTATTTGTATCGTTTTAAATTTCTTTTTTCAGTGTTTTATAATTTTCCAAGTGCAGGTCTTTTACATCCTTAGTTAAATTTATTCCTAAGTATTTTTTTGATACAGTAGTAAATAGGATCATTTTCTTAGTTTCCCTTTCTGATAGTTCATTTTTGTGTATAAAAATAAAACCAATTTATGGATATTTATTTTGTATCCTACAGCTTTACTGAGTTTATCAGTTCTAATCGTTTTTTGATGGATCTTTAGGGTTCTCTCCCATGATTATTTTTTTACATTTTATTTAATTAGTGATCTTTTAAGAAATGATAAGAGATTATTTCATTTACTGATCCCACTGAGTTATAATTTATCATATAAGTAATATTTAAACTACTCTAGCAATAGCTACAAGTACTAGGACTTGGAAACAGAATGATGCCCTGGAAACACAAAATGAAAGCTGTAGTATTATATTTTTATTCAATAATGAAAGTTTTGCTAAACCAGTATATCACATGTATGGTGTAGTATAAAAAATTCCTAATGGTTCATAAATATGGCATCTATATTTTACCAGTCACTCAACTGAATTATGTAGAATAGATTACAAGAGACAGCAAATTGTCAAGGTATATATACACATATATATTATGTAGTTCTAATAACACAACAAACATCTTTTTACTCAGTTTTCAGTTGCTATTCTTTATTGTTGAAAGAATAGAAATACCTTAATCACTTTGTGATTAAACTCATCTGCCTGGGGCCAGGGGAAGAGATAGAGGACATTATTTTGAATGATAGAGAGGAGGCTAGGAAAAGAAGGCTAAGAAATGGTCCCTAAAAACTATCATTTTTTCCTCTTTTCAAAGGCATAAGCATTATATAAGCAATCACCCACCACGAATCTGTTTGGAATGTAGCTATAGAAGGGTAAAGGAATCCTTTCTAAAAATAAGTTGGATGTTTGATAGAATCCAAATTGTTTGATATGTGGGTAGCCTAATCAAATAGTAGTACAAACTACAAAGTATTAACCTGGGAAGGTTGGAAGTTTCTTGAATATCATACTTAACAAAGCCTTCATGTCTATACCATTTCCTCTCAGTAAGCTATAGCAGTACTGCTTTGTACGTTACATTTTACACTTTACAAAACGTCCTTACATTAGCTACTTTAACTTTCACAACAACCAGTAAAATAATTACCAGTAAGAATGGTGGTTTACATTTCAGTTATTTTACCAAGATTTTAAAGTTAGTAAATGATTGGTGTACACACAAAACCAAATCTTTGGACTTCAAATCTTTCTTTTTAACTCTCCCTCATTGCTCATTTTCTGGTTTATAATCCCTAACCTGAATGGAAGTGGGATGGGGAGGTAGTATCTGTAGGATTGAAAAGAAAGAAAAACACAGCTACATAGTAGCCATAGATCAGCATTTATCATCTGATTAATTTCATTTTTTGACCTCACATGTAATAGTATCACAATTTCTGCCTTTCACTTTAATTTGTTTTTTGTTTTTCTTTGGCTTGATTTTTTACTCTATGATTCCATGATTTCATGTAAATACCAATATTGATGAAGAAAGGAAATTCATTTGTTATATAGAAATATAAACCCTATTATCTTTTCTTATTCTTAAAGATGTTGAGGGAATTCTTCTTTGTGTGTGTGGGACTTGTACACTTCCTGATAGATAGCTTATATATTTTTTCCAGTGTGGTAGAGTATAAATTCCTGAAGAATATCTGTGAGAAAACCTAAGAGGATAATTAAATATATAAATTTGCATTTTGAGAAGTTAATTTTTTAATCATATGTAAATGACACCTTTTCTCTGTAACAGTGGGATAAAGAGCTACAGATCCGACAGAAAGAAGATGCAATATGTGAGGCCAAAGAACGTAAAGAAAAAGAGTTAGAGGAAAAAAAACACTTCAAAGAAATTATGAAGAAAAGAGAAGAGAAATTACACAAGCAAACCAAACCTTACGAGCTTCCTCCTAGGACTGAAGCAATTTCATTAGAAGGGAAAATGACCCCCCCAAATTGAGATCCATGTGCCAGAAATTCATTGCATAAAAGAGACCAAGATAGCTACATGTTAGGAAAATGTTCTTCTAATTAACTGGAAACCATCTCTTAGAAAGGAATTGTTATCCTGGTACATGCTTTGTAATAGTCACATCTTAGTTCTCAATTAACAGTTAGCTTTTAATCACATTTGAGTGAAGTGATTTTACCAATGAAACATTTTCAGGAATACAGCTAGACTTTTCCCAATTGACTCTTATCTTGTGATCATACAGCATACTTAATCAACGATTCTCGGAGTATCGATATTCATTGGACAGTTAGATGGAAATAAATTGCAAATTTTTAATGAGTCGCATATAAGAATTATTTCTTGAAAAAAGAATGAGCATTAACTGATACTCCTATCGTAATTGTTACTCAAATAAAAGAAGTAAGAGACCTGCTTAGATTTGTATTTCATAGTCAATTTGTGCCAAATCAAACCATATGTCAGACACTGCAATTTGATAAATAACTGTTTATAAGCAAATCTGAATGGCCCAGTCATCTCAGAATGAGCTGAACGGTAACATACACCACAGCAGACTCTTGAGACAGTGGTTTTACTTTGTCAGATGCATTTAGGAGAATGGATTTGGACGGTCCTGGAAGGACCGCTTACTGATTATCCATAAGGAGCATCTTTACAATGTCAGTTCGCTTCATCTGATGTTCTCAGCCTACGGGTAAGAGTAATGAGATGGGCTTCCTGTGATGCCTTACACTCTTTTTCTGAAAAATGTAGACAGAAACCAACTTTAATTTTGCATAATTTTGGTGGATTGATGATACTTAAGAGACAGGTGCTTTATCAGAGATATCAAACTCAAATGACTACCCGGTCAGGAAGGTAATATAAATTAGTGACAAGGGCTACAGAAAACCTATTCTACCCCAAGAAAGTTCCCGCCATTCAGCTGTACTTGTGCTGCATGTCCATTATTGTGGGATCATCCAGTCTTTTAAGAACATCTCAGATGGGATTATTTTTTAAAATAAAAGTTACTAAATTTCAAAATGTTGGCAAGCAACTAAAAAATTCATATAATTTTAGTTTAAATTTGACACATAGACCACAAGTTGTTACCTATAAAAGAATATACATATAAACATGCATATATATAAAGAATGTATATATTTGAAAATATATAAAGATATAAGGATTATAATTAATCAGCTGTATAGATAGATAATAACTGTATTCTGATATTATTCTCTAAAATTCTTTATTAAGTTATTCTTTAAAATTTGGCAACTCATACTTCTTATAGTTTTCCTCCTATGTCCTGGGATATTAGCAAAGACTGGGGCTCATAGATCTCTGTCCACATCCTACTTACACCCCCTGCTATCTATGAAACCTTGGGCAAGTTACTGACCTCACCTGAGCTGCAGTTTACTCATTTAGAAAATGGGTACAGTGCATATAGTGGTATCAGTCAGAGGTTAATCAGGAAAATGGAAACAGATCAGTCATTTTCATGAAGAGTTTAATGTAAGGAATTGTTTCAAAAGGTGTTAGAGAACTGAGCCAATGAAAAGTCAACTAAGACACAGGCAGAAACCCATTACTGCAGGAAACTGCCACCACCTCTAGGTGCAGGGGATCGGAGAGGAAAGGGTTAGACCATTAGAATCTGGGACTGTGGAGGGGGCAGCACACAGTGGGACGCAGCCCTCTGAGTAGGAGGCACTGTCCAGCAGGTACCTCTGACCAGGCACAATAAGGCTGTTTGGGGATCCCAGAAAGAAAAAGAAACTGGAGTAAGTTGGCTATTCCAGAAACCATGCTGCCAGGAAGAGCAAGAAAACTGAAAGAATCACGTTCCTTCTCCCCATCCTGGAACACTTCCTCCAGTGCAGAGAAAAGCAGGGTGGCTATGCTGCTGAAAGATGCTGGTTAAATAACTGGAAAAAACTCGAAGCTCAATGCCTAGAACATATTAGGCCATGCAATAAAAGTTAATTCCCCTTCCCCTCCCCCCTGAATTTTAGGCACTATTATTTATTTTATTTTATTTTTTGCCATTTCTGCAAGTTTTTCTGAGACCAGAAAAAAACACACCACAAAACCCCCCAAAAAACCCCAAAAAACTTGGAAGAAAGCATCATGACCTTTTAAGTTCATGTAAATGGTATAAAAAGAAATTTTCACTTTTTTAAACAAAACAGAGGTTAACATAACTAATCTTTAATTCTTCCCATAAGTACTTAACACAAACTCAAATGGAGCTCTTTGTATTGTACCCTTAATATTAATTTTGCCTCAAAATTTACAAAGGTTTCTATGAGCCTCAGGCTGACTTGGGCACCTGACAGATTCTTAAACTCCTCTCCTGCTGTTCACCTTGCGGTTTCTCTGCCTTGGTTACTTATTTTCCCAGGCCTTTCCACTAGAGGTTAGTTAGACTCTAGAGGGAGAAGAAAAGGGAGAAAGATACTCCCTGTCTATTACCCTCTGCAGCTCTTACTCATCTGTAAATGCCTCTACTGCTAGGAGATGGTAACCTATCTCAGATCCAAATTCCTTTCTATCTAAAACCTGTTTCTATGCCACTTTACACTCTGTTTACTTTTATTTTAAAGGACAAACCTAGGTCTTCCTGCATCCGTTTATTATAAATTCTCTATAGACTTCTCTTAGCATCCACCAAAGCAACTTTTTTTTTTTTTTGCACAAACTATATCATAGACCTGTTTCCTTATTGAGAAGAACATATTTATAGAAATTTTAGCTAGTTTCCCTAGGGTACTGGAAATTAAGACATCTATTAGGCAACAAAAGAGAGAAAACATAAATTATAAATTCTGAGTAACAGAAGCATAGAAATAAGCATTTCTTCTACTACAACTTAAAAAGGAGAAATAAAAAGATCCACAAAGGTTTGCACGGCATGACAAAGAGAGGTTTAAGGGAGAAAATAGGCAAAACAAACACCTTCACTGTGGATACTGAGTGGGTGTTTGGGGAAAAGGGGCCTGCAGAGTAGTAGACAATTAAAAGGAGCTCATAGTAACAATGATAGAAATGCTTTAGTAATGTTTAGCAATTATAATTCAAGTAATTGATTCCTTTTGTTCTTACCGTAAAAATCCTCTCTGGGACATATAACTGTCTACTAGTTAATTTAGAGGAACTTTCCTCAATTTAAATTTTTTTCATTTTGATACGGAATTTTTGGACTGGAACCCAGATCTAGAGGCCCGGTGCATGAAGATTCATGCACTGGGCAGGGGGGTCCCACAGCCCGGCCTGCCCCCTCTCACAGTCTGGGAGCCCTCAGGGGCAGGAGGCGACCCGGTCATCAGGAGAAGGCGATGCCCCATCACACCTCTTCATGCACTGGAGGGGAGGTCCCTTAGCCCAGCCTGCTCCCTCTCACAGCCTGGGAGCCCTCAGGGGCGGGAGGCAACCCAGCAATCAGGGGAAAGTGACCCCCCATCACCCCTCTGCTGCTGCCACTGCTGGCAGTGCAAGCCTCTGCAGGTCCTGGTTACCTGAGCCTCGGGCCGGCCCTGGGCAGCTGGGGGCTGAGGGGTCTGGGGGACTCTGGAGGCAGGCTCACGCCTGCCACCCGGCGGGACTGAGGGGACTGGGCACCGCCATCTTGTGGCTGTGGGCGCTGCCATCTTTGAGGGCGTGGCAGTCAATTAGCATATTCCCTCCTAATTGGCTGTGGGCGCTGCCATCTTTGCGATTGTGTGAGGGTCAGTTAGCATATTCCCTCTTTATTAGATAGGATACCTGTTGCTGCTTCCTTGTCTTATGGAAATGTAACTGCACTTCCTGGCTTCCTTGTGTTATGGAAATGTACCTTCTCCTAGTCAGTAGCTCTGTGTTTTTTTTCCATGGACCCCAATTCTAAAAATTCCCTAAATCTGCCTATATTCCCCTAAAATTCCTGTTTCAATATCAATAAATCCAAAGAATGTTACAATGTATAAGTGGTAAGTACAGTTCCTTCTTCCCATACACCACCATACCCATTCCACTATGTCCGTGCCACCAAATGGTTCCACAGCAAGGTTTTACAACAGCATCTATTTTGATTTTGAGCTGGATAGTTAATGTGCAGGGGCTTTCTGTACATTTTCAGTTCTTTAGCAGCATCTTTGGTCTCTACCCATAAGATGACAGTAGCAGCCCTTCCCCAACATCACCCACACCCTCAACCAAAAGTCGCCTGTAGCAAAATCGCTCCTGGTTGAGAATGAGTGTTCTAGAGGTTCACTGAACTTGACTTCCAAATTTCATAGTTGACTTCTTGGTAACTGCTTGGTAAACTGCTCAAACATTAAGCTCACTTTGGGTCAGCTAATGACTCAATTAAAATTACCACAGATCTCATGAACCCTCTTCATTCCTCTCAAATCTATACGTGCTGAAGTAGCAACATGAACAAGAGCACTCCTAATTTTTTAAAATTTAATTTACTTTTTTATAAGTTTTTTATTTTTGACAGTTTTACAGATGCCTTCCATTCCCCCCCCCTTTACTCCCTCTGCCCAACTCTGTCCCCCTCCTCCCCTCCCCCCAGGGCTTCACCACCCTATTGCCCATGTCCATGGGCTATGCATATAAGTATATAAGTTCTTTGGTTTATCTCTCCTTGTCCCCCACCTCCACACTGAGGTATGTCAGTCTGTTCCATGTCTCCATGCTTCGGATCTTACTAGTATTTTGTTGGCCTATTCATTTTGTTCATTAGATTCCACAAATAAGTGAGATCATGTGATACTTTTCTTTCTCAGATTAGCTTATGTCACTTAGCATAATAATCTCCAGATCCATTTATACCTGATTAGTTGCTGATATTTATCACACACATCCCACCCATGGGCTAAAGACAAAGAAAACTTGTTCTGCCAGTGCCAATGTAGAAAAGACATGTCCAGTAGTACACCCAGCCCACAATGCACTTCACAGCCGTAGGCTTGCCACCAGAGACAAAATATTTGTAAGATTCTATTTATTAATTCTAGCTATTTTCTCTGACATGTGGGATGTGTTTGGAAACTTAGAGTAAAACTCACTTTAAATTATCATCTTCTATAACATAAATTCATATATTTATATAGTTTTGCAAATTCTGTTGATGATTTGGTTATTTTTGAGCTACATGCATTTTTCATAGTGACATAGATTTCAAGGATAATTTGGCTTTCATGTTATTCAAGCCTACTTTTTCCTCTAATCCTTTTAGCTCAGGGACCTATTTACATAATACCTAGTGCCTTGTTATGTTTTATTCCTGCTTCATTGGAAAGCCAAAAATAAAAAGAAATGCATTTCCAACGCATTTT